CTATAATCGACTTTATCTCGGACAATCTTCATTTTAGCTAGCCCGGTTTCGGGTTCTCTATGAGCTAAGTAGCCACGTTGACCGACAGAAGAGATAAAGAGTTATAACATGTTTTAATTTATTTGTTTTCCTGTCACTTTACTTTCCCCCTTTCCATCCCCCTCTTCGGGTTCAGGGCAGTTTATTCTGGGTTCATTCCTGGTTTTCTCTGTTCTGTCTCCCCACAGTATCTGAGCAGTGTTTTCCCCATACTGGGTTTTCATGCTTTCTCTGTACCTTTTATTTTGGGGTATCATAGCAGTTCTCTGGTGGTTCCAACCCCAGTTCTCTACCTTGAGTTCCACCCCCCCTTCTCTCTTGGTATCAGAGCAAGGATTTTCCTTGGTTACCTTGAATATGATTCTTTGCAATTGAACTGGTTTGGGTATCCTAGAGAACACAAACCAGTTCAATTGCAAAGAATCATATTCAAGGTAACCAAGGAAAGTCCTTGCTCTGATACCAAGAGAGAAGGGGGGGTGGAACTCAAGGCAGAGAACTGGGGTTAGAACCACTAGAGAACTGCTATGATACCCCAAAATAAAAGGTACAGAGAAAGCATGAAAACCTAGTATGGGGAAAATACTGCTCAGATACCGTGGGGAGACAGAACAGAGAAAATCGGGAATGAACCCAAAATAAACTGCCCTAAACCCGAAGAGGGGGATGGAAAGGGGGAAAGTAAAGTGACAGGAAAACAAATAAATTAAAACATGTTATAACTCTTTATCTCTTCTGTCGGTCAACGTGGCTACTTAGCTCACAGAGAACCCGAAACCGGGCTAGCTAAAATGAAGATTGTCCGAGATAAAGTCAGTTATAGCAAGAAAAGTGTTCACCATAAGATTATGAGATGACTGAATCTGGCATAGCCGGTTAGACATCTCCTCATAAGCTTACGCATGAACGAAATTAAATGCAAAAAAGTAAAGACAGGAAAAATAAACACACAAGTCCATGATAAGATTATGAGATGACTGAATCTGGCATAGCCGGTTAGACATCTCCTCATAAGCTTATATGAACACAAAATAAAGCTGTACAAAAAATTATTTAAGCCTTTAAATGATTATCGCATCTTTTAATAAATAAAGCTTAAGGCATCCGAGGACGCCCTTATAAGAAAACTACTCCATAAGAGGGAGCAGAGAAAACTTACTTGGGGGGAGGAAAAGGAGAAGGAGAAGGAGAGGGGAGATGCTGAATAACTTCTCTTATTGATATAAGAAATTTACATAAGAAGTAGAGAGAGGGAGCAGAGGAGGGAGTATGGGGAATGCCTAGAATGCTTCTTGCCCAGCATAAGGGACTTATGAAGCATTATATAGAAAATGAAAAATATTAAACTAATGAATAGTAATTTACATGTGGGACCCACTTTATGACTTATGGGTCTTATAAACTTAATGGAGAAGTAATGTACAAATGAGGTTCTACGGAGGAAATTTTCCTCACTAAAGAACAAGAATAGACAAAAATAGTGACATCAATTAATTTTTTTTTTTACATTTTATCAAAAGACTGATTCAATCTTACCGTCATTAACATGCAAGGCTTAATGGGCCTAACAACATGTAACGGAAGAGGAATCGTGACAAGGTAGCAAGATATCATTATCTGCCATTAACCTTTGTCGTCTTTTGATACAACCGTTTATGACGTAAGGACTTACGTCATGAGAAGCTCCTCGAAATCTTTAAGGGCAAATTAGTCTTTGAATGGCTAATGACGTAAGAGATTACGCCATTAGGAGTTCCTCGAAATCTTCAAGGGTAAAGTCGTCTGAAGGACTAGAGAAAATAAAGCATTTTGTTGCTTGATATAACCTATTTTCTGATTGTTTTTCAGGAACAAAAGACCATTGATGGCCTCTACAAGTTTATATAACTTGTTTACTAATGTTTCTTTTTGAGGAACAAAACATACAAGCAAACTTTGAAGTGTTTCGCTTGTAATCAACCAGGACACTTCTCTAGAGATTGTCCTAACATTACAAACCTTTACACTAAAGAGGCAGAATTGATAAAATCCTGCCACATGAACCTTCTTCCAATAGATGAAGATGTTTCTACTGACTCTGAAATACTATCAGTGATTAGTATTACAAAGTATAATGATGAAATCAATTTAGACAAAAGTTATAAAGATTATGGCCTAATAAATGATTTCACAAATAATGAATTCATTCACCTTTATCCAAATGAAAATGATTTCCAACTGGATAATAAATATAATGAATTAGGAAATATATTAGATGATTTTGGATATTGTCTAATGAATACTACAGTTTCTTCTTTTAAGGAAACTAACAAAAGGGTATTGCAGAGTTCCTTCAGTCATATAGGTACTACTATGGCAAACCCAATCAACAAAGGCAAGTTACCAGCCTCAATAACTGAAGAGTTTGATACTCTAAGGTTTGGAACACAGCATCTTCCGGTTTTACCATAAGGTCACCCTCAACAATTCAAATGTCTGAGGAACTGTCTCGTTTCAAGGGAACAAAAGGTACTACTTGATGCTCTTCATCGAGCTTGTAGTACAACAAAAAAGTTTAATGCTATTAATGCATTAAATTATTACTTTGCAAAAATGTTGCCCGCTGTTTTTAAAAAAATCCAAGAAAGAGCCCTACTGCCTTTTTACTGGAGACAAGCGTGACGTCTACTTATCATATCCCTCTCTGTTGAAGGCGATAGGTAATGACAAACACAACAAATTTTAAGGATTTGATAACCTTGAAGAAGCAGTACAAGCGATGGTCAGCTATGTTGGAGGTGACAACAGCTTGTTGGACCATCCCGAAGTTCGTAATTTCATTTTTGAAAAACCAACAAAACAAAAGAATTTTTCAATTTATTATTCCATTAAACTTAGACAACGCTTGGCTTTTGCCAAGAAAATGGAACAAAAATTGAAAAACTCCTTTTCTTTTCAGAAAAATGATTTTCAAAAACATATTTCCTGTTTGGAAATAGAAAATAAAAATTTAAAAACTGAAATCTTAGAACTCCGTAAAAAGATGGACTATGATTTTGAAACCATTGATTATGAAACTTTTACAAATAAAATGACCTATGTTGGGTCATTCAAAAGAAAAATTTTGGGATAACTTCCCGGCCCAATCCAAGAAAAAATCTACGAACAGTTTTTTGTTGCCTTGTTAGTAGAACTTGGAGCACTACAAAATTGGTTATTCCAATTATCAGTAGATTCTACACTCCACCAATATTGGATATTAAACTTGTGACTATTATATATATAATGTAAGTATTTTTTAATTTAATAACAAGTTTTGAAATAAAATTATTTGATAAAGGTATTTATTAAAAACTGTACCTAAGACTTAATAAAACTTAGACATACCATTATTATTTATGTAGGTAAATTTTAATTGTTAATAAAAGGGTAAAAATGTACTTTGAATGTCTAAAACAGTGAGGGTTATTACACTACCTTAAAAATATTTTATTATTTGTTTTTATAAAATAATTCGTCTAAGCCAAAATAGTTATAATGTGTTGAAGTTTTTTAATATTATAAAGTTTGTTTCACTCGTTATATAGTCTCGTGATGTTTTTCACCAACTAATGGAGGTTGAATCTAAATGACTACTCGATAGGTATCTTTGACAAAAAACATTATTTTATACGTCTTCTACAATAATAAATAATTAAAAGTATACATAATATAATTAATGGTGTAGAGTCTATTATCATTTAATTTTTTAAACTAAGAAACATATATGTAAAATACGTATAGGTAATATAGTAATTTTTAAGTAGAAAAAAAGAGTAAAATAAATTAAGGGTGTTTATTGAGTTGGGTAACCCGATTATACCTAAATAAATTGGATTAAATTTTTATTTGTGATAGGATAAAATCGATTTAATATAATTAAACTTTTTTTTGAGTTGGATAATGAGTTTTAGACTATTGACTTCAAATACAATTCAATTTACTAAATTAAAATTATTAAATAACTTTGACGTTAATAATAATATATCTATTATTTAATATATTTAATTATTATATTAAATATATATTCGTAAGATCAATGAAATATATCTTATGTGTGAAATTGCATTCAATAAACCATATCAAAATTTAATTTTATTATGAAAACATGATAAAAAAGTCAACCTGCAAGTAATATTTGACTTCTCTTTTTATCTCCTTATATTTAATGGAATATAGAATATTGATGGAGTTTGATTAAATTACTATATTTAAATCTTTAACACCAAGTTATCATAAATAACCAAGGTAATTAAATCTTTAACACCAAGTTATCATAAATAACCAAGGTAATTAAATCTTTAACACGATAGCACATTATTTGCATAATTGGAATAATTTAATCTCTAGTTATTTTAAATGCATTTTTAATTATTTTTTATTGTGAAATATGTTTTTATTATTTATTTGCGTAAAGAAATTAACATGGTTTATATCATACTAGCTTCTAATATTATTTAGAATTTTTAATAATTGATTTTTGTTTACTCTTGTTATCTTATCCATGTTACATAATAAATAACGGTTGCGAAAAGCAAAACCCCGGTAATGTAATTAATTTCAGCGAACATTTAATTAGAATGAAATGGTATAAAACGATGATGGCTCATTTTTTTTTTCTTCTGTAAATTAAATTTCAATCACAATCCACATTGTTGTCCCCAACGCTAACCCCTTCTCCCTTTTCTCTTCTCTGAAAACCCTAACTTTGTCTCAATTTGCGTTTGGTCCATGGAAGCGTGATTCTCTGTTAAACCCTCCCTCGCGATTCATTTCCGCACCTCGAATCTCACGCTTCCATCTTCGCCCAAATGTCTCTTCCACCCATAGAGTGTGTATACGTAACAGAGGAGTGTGTTCGCGAATGGAGGAGTGGCAACCCTGCCCTCAAGGTATCCCAACCTGTCCCCATGCTTCGCTTCCTCTACGAGCTCTGTTGGACTATGGTGCGTTCCTTTTTACACTAATTAATCATAATTCTTGTTGTTTCTTTATTCTTTTATGTGGGTTTAAATTGAAAGTTTGAAATTTCGGTGACGATTGCTTTGATTGGGGGTAATGGACTGATTTTTGGTTGGGATGCTATCAGGTTCGGGGTGAACTGCCGTTTCCCAAGTGTAAAATAGCGTTGGATTCTGTCATATTTCCAGATAAAGCTTCCAATGAGAAAATAGCTTCCAATTTTGCTGATATATTGTCCCAAATGGCTCAAGATGTGAGTTATACTGCTGCTTTGCACTTGTGATATTGTTGATGTTGATATTTTTCATTATTCTTATTTTTCCTTCTAACTCTGTGTTACATAGCTTCAAACTCTCTCTCTCTCTCTTTCTTTCACACACACACAATTTTCCTTTCCGTATCTATCAACTAAGAATATATCACATAAGAAACATGGAAACTTCTGAATAGTAGCTCTATCATTAACAACAAGAAATCTGCTAGGAAACTTCAAATGTTTTAAGTTGCATTTTTACAATTCTTTACTTTACATTTTAAACTTTTATACCTATATGATTGAATGCCATAATAACTAAGAAGCATAGACCCAAGGTTTTAAACTGTGGCCACGGTTTCATTGTGATCCTTGATATAATGCGAACTCGTGGACAAATGTGACTTAAGTTGATCTCCAAGATCCCCAAATGTGACTGAAGTGATTGTTACTGTGGTCATGGAGATCTCCAAAACCTTGATGTTGTAGCCACCATTGCAGTTAATACCTTTTTCAAAATGTTACATCAATCCTTTCAGCTAGTAGCTGTGTTGTGTTGGACATGTCAAATACGTTAGTTATACGCTAGTTGTATTTTTGCATGTTTTTTCCTTTTATTTATATTGAAACTTTCGTGTTAGTAACAGTGAATGCTATAATGATTAGATACATGTTAGGTTTTTATCATGTTTACCATGATCCATTCTATTTTAAAACGTAAATGCTCTCATGATTAATGATGTTTTTTTTAATGCTAAATTTACATTGATTTTATATATACACTGTATTGTAGTTGTATTGTACCCAATAGTTTTTAAAATTTGCCCCATTATTTGGTTCATTGTGCATTTATGTCATGTGCCATGTGTTGTATTTGTGCCTCCAATAGAATTTAAGTGGTTAAAACAGAAAAATGGTATCAAGGGTTATTTGTAACCGCAAATTACTATCAAATTTAAAGGGAACTTTCATAGTATTGCTATACAACCAACTATATTATGATAGTAAATCATTGACTTTAAAGGGACAATAAGAGGAAGGTGAGAGTAGTAGAAATTAAAATCTTAAATGGATCTGTGGCTACTCAAAAAATGGGTGAATGATGATAGGAAAGATGTAGCTGGTTTTGGGTCTGACCATATGCAAAGTAGGGTTTGACCCTTTACTAAAAAATGTTCAATTTGTAAGACATGTATCAGGGAAAGATGACAGGAACTTGGTTAAGGTGGTTTGACCATATGCAAAGTAGGTAACTGGTGAGGAGTGTAGAGTGCTTGGCTTTTGGCTTTTTGAAATGGTGTTGAAGGAGGCTAGGAAAACATTGGAAGGATTATTGAATGGGGGATCTCATGGTGAATGATACTTATAAGATTTTGGTTTTCATTTGTGTCCAATGATGTGCTGCGAATTTTGTAGCTGACTTCCCTTAATACAAACAGACTATTGTTCTTGTTGCCATCTTATGTTTACTATGCCTTATTTTCATTTTTAAAGATGAATTCATGCCTGTATCAAGGAGATTACCAAACTCGCAATTGAAAGAATTTCCATGAAGATACCAATTCTGATAATGGAATCACTTTTGTTGAATGCTTAAGATATATTATTTGAGATTTTTGAAAGTTAGCTCTCACAATGACTTTTCTTACTTTTGATTAATGTCTTTAATTTTCTATGTTTGTAAATATATGAGCTCTTTTATTTGTATTTGGTTTGTCATTTGTCATATGAGTGAGACATTGAATACTGTTTCAATTTCTAGTGTCCAATGATTTATAACTGTATTAGTTGTAGTAAGCCCACTTAATGTAATTATGTGCTCTCGTCCCCTTGGTTTCAGCATACAATGTCAGGTGATTCCCGTTCTCGGCTCATTAAACTGGTCAGTATTTGTTCTTGCATACTTTATTTGATGGAAATTAATTTGTAAATCTTCATCTTTTTGGAGTAATCATTATGGTTCTCATTCCTTTAAAAATTATATAATTTATTATTGATTTTAAAAATTTCATTTTTGTAGGCAAGATGGCTTGTGGAATCTGAAATGGTTCCAGTTAGGCTACTTCAAGAACGTTGTGAGGTTTGCTCCGCCCCTCTTCATTTTTTCCTATTTCACTTTATGGCTTCTGTTTAATTTGTGATACACTGAGCCAAGGCAAAATATTTAATGCATTAGTAACTTAAGTTTCTTGCATTTGCAAAATATTATTTATATGTTGTGCATTTGTAGGAGGAATTCTTGGGGGAGGCTGAATTGATCAAAATTAAGGCTCAGGAGTTGAAGGGTAAAGAGGTGAGCTATTAACTTCTTTATACAAATGCTACAATACCAAGGGTTTCTGTTTCTCTTTTCTTCTATTATTCCTATTTCTTATGTTTTCTTTTATTCATAGACACTCTTAAAAGGTGAGATAAATTGATAATTTTGTTCAAAGGAAAGGGTGGACAATCTTCACTGAAAGGGGAGGATGTTGGCAATCTAACATGTATGTGATAGAAAAAGGGTTGTAATTATGATGATAGCCAAAAAATAAAACTCTAGAACTAACACTTTGCATGACAAAGTAGCTATGTTTGTAGTCTTTCACACTTGAATAGGGATGGTCTGGCCCGCCCCGGCCCTAGCCCGCAAAAAACGGGGCAGGGCGGGCTGACATGTTATAGTCAGGACGGACTATAAACACTATCCCGTCCTGCCAATAATTTTTTTTTATGTAATTTTATTTTATATGTATTTTTTTAAAATATATCTTTAATTATATGAACAATTTTTAAGTTTTTATTTATTAATTAATATTTTTATTAGATAAATTAAAAATATTATATTTATGTGTTAAAATAATTAATTATAATCAATGATTTAAATTTAATTAATTATTTTTTATAATTTAAATTATAATATTATAATATACTTACATATTTCAATAACATAACACAAAAAATATAATATTTTTAATTATAATAATTTTTATTTTAATTTTAATATATAAATATTTTTTTTAAGTGGGTCATCGGGGCAGCCTGCCTCACCTTGCCCTTGGCCTACCGAGTTGGCGGGGTAGGCAGGACAAGCTAAAACGGGCTGGCGGGCCGGCCCATAGGGTCTAGTCTGTTTTGTCATCCCTACACTTGAACAATCATGGTCTGAAAGCATCAGAGATTATCAACTTTATGTTGTCTTTGAAATCTGTCAATTTTCTTTTCATTAAAGCAAGTATAACAAACCAACATGCATTGGTACAAGGTAGAAGGACATATCCATTACTTGGAACCCAAAAAGATTGTAAGTTGTCATTTCAGAGCTAAGCTTGAACCTAAAAATTAGCGAGTGGTATATGAAATCTATGGTCTGTCTCATTGTAACAGACATCAGACATGTAATAAATATCTACATATCTAAAAATGCTCATAAAACACCTGAGTAGAGCAACGAGGAAAAGCCATAATGCAACTGATCCTCTGGTATATACAAGTGCAAGTAGGGCTCCTGATTGCATAAACTGCACTCGATAGTGGATCTTATGCTTGATTGTTATTTGGTTCCTTATGTTGCATGCATCAAACATCAAGAATTATGTATCTGCTAGAATACAGATTTAAATTCTTATACATGTTTGATGCATTTGTGCGTTTGATTTCAGGTCAGAGTTAATACGCGACTTCTCTATCAGCAAACCAAATTCAATCTTCTCAGAGAAGAGAGTGAGGGCTATGCAAAGCTGGTATAATCATACTTATCTTCACTGGACATTTTAGGATATTTTTTATGAATTATTGATCACTTGTTACAGCCATAGTGATTTTGGCTGAAGTTCACTTCATCTCTAACAATTGTCTTTTAATTTCATGAAATTGTCTTATACGTTGCATTGATCTGGTTAGATGGTTTTGTATGTTCTATTGAATTATTTAACTGTGTAGGTGACTCTTCTTTGCCGAGATTCTGAAGCACCTACGCAAAAATCATCTGCAGCAACCATTGGCATTATTAAGGTTTTCATGATTTTAAGTACTATGACTACTCCAGTATAATTATTTTTTTCTGTGATGATGATTGTGGTACTGATTTGGATCACTTCTGCAGTCATTAATTGGTCATTTTGATTTGGATCCAAATCGCGTTTTTGATATTGTAAGTTGGACATTTTTGTTGATTGTTTTTATTAATTTACATTCCTATCTGTTTTCATTTCATGTTTATCTAGCTACTGATGTGTGGTTTTGCTCAGGTCCTAGAGTGTTTTGAACTGCAGCCTGATGATGATGTGTTTATAGAGTTGATTCCTATATTTCCAAAGGTGGATAACATTAAATCATAGGTGATTCCTATATTTAGTTTGTAATATTTAAGGGAAAAATTTTTATATTATGTTTTTTTCTCTTTTATGCAGTCTCATGCATCGCAGATTCTTGGATTTAAATTTCAATATTATCAACGCATGGAAGTCAGCAGTTCTGTTCCGTTTGGGCTCTATAGACTTACAGCCTTGCTGGTGAAGCAAAATTTTATTGATCTTGATAGCATGTAAGATGTTTTATTGTGCTGCTTAAACATCACATATAGCAATTCTTATAAGAAAGTAGACACTTACAGTAATTCAATACTGAATCAATTTTTTCCTCCATGGCTTTAAAGAGGTGTTGGTTGCATTCAAGGTTATTTACCTGTTCCATTCATGTAATTGATAAACTGTCTTCATTAGCACTCCTAATTTTTGTTTTGTGATTTTAAATTTTTTAGTGAAAATGTCGATGTATAAAATTTATGCATCATATAATCATACCAAAATCTAAGTAGTAAGTTGTAGTTGGGGTATAAAATAAGGAATGACAAGGCTACCTCTCAAACTAGTAAAATATTGGTTGGTTAGTTTTTTTAGGAATTAAGTTTTAAGTTTATTTGGTTATTTTCTCTATCACAAAAGTGAAGAATCTATTCGCTTACCTAGTTGTTGTGAATGTCTATGCCGTTTGATACTCTCTTTGTTTATGCATACTGTTACAGTTTATAGTCCAGGTTGGTATGCCCTTTTTGTTCAGAACCGGGATGTTAGTATGTGGATATTTAGTCATGGGGAAACTAAGCTTTAATTAAGCTTATTTGTTTGAATTACTAACCCACATGTTAGTTTGTTGTTCATATGTATTTCTAATCTACTGTGATTATGCCAGTGCCATCTAGACCCGAGCTATATCATGGTTTGAGAAATTTTCTAACTATCATTTTGATTATAGATACGCTCATCTACTTCCCAGAGATGATGAGGCATTTGAGCATTACAATACTTTCTCTTCCAAGCGCCTTGATGAGGTATTCATGCTTTTATTGAATACGTAATTAACTTTTTTATACTTGAATTATTATTATTATTATTTTGGGATGAAAGAAGTTTCTTATTAGGAGTATTGAAAATAAAATAAATCTGCCCCAGGAGTAGGAAATTGTTCTATAAAGAAATATGGAAGGGAAATGAGAGAAAATGTCTCAAGATTACAACAAGGCTGTCTAGTTTCTCTCTATGCTTCAGATTCAGATACTTTTTTTGCTGTCTTGCTTTATCTTAATTAAACTAAAATTGGGTTGGTATGTGAAAAATTTAGTTTCACAAGCTTGTTTCAACCTTCAGTTCTTATTTTTCATCTGGTTTAAATTTCGTTGGTGTTGAAAAATTTCGTTGCTTGAATTGAAACATACCAGTGTTGGTGTTGATCTTGCATAATGTCAAAATATACCTGGCATTTTTTTTAATCATATATCATCTATTGTGTTCTTATTTAGTTTTGACTAGTTTGGTTTCTAAAAGGTTGTCACTCTGAACTACAGGCTAATAAAATTGGAAGAATAAACCTTGCTGCAACTGGAAAAGATCTAATGGACGATGAGAAACAGGGGGATGTCACTATAGATCTCTTTGCTGCCTTAGACCTTGAAACAGAAGCAATTGAAGAACGAACAACAGAGCTTCAAACAAGTCAGACTTTGGGCTTGCTTACTGGCTTTCTCGCCGTGGATGACTGGTATACTTGATTTATAGATCTACTATAGCGTGTGATGACAAAGAGTCTTATTACCGGAGGCTATCATGTTTTTTCTCTTTTGACTTACTTTATTTTTTGGTGTCTTCGCAGTGGATAAATTTCCACCTTCTGTCCTAATGAATAATGATAAAACTGCTTTTTTATACTATGACAAAGCATAATGAATATATTAAGCTATTTGGACGATGAAAATAATGGAATTTCTTAACGATGGAATTGATTCCAGTGTGTGGTGAAATATTTGTTATTATTCCATAAAATCACTTTTTTGTCAGTATTTTTTTCTACTAGGTGACTTAGTCAGCCTCAGATGCAGTTATTGAGATACATGATGGTTCTCAATCTTTATGTTTTTTGCTGAAGATTTGATCCACTAGTCCAAATTAATTGATTTATGCCTCAACTACATTCTTTTTGTAAAATATACCTGTGTTCATAGAATTGCTTTATAACAAATTTATGTTTATGAAAGTATTTGCTTTTCCTCTCCCCAGGTATCATGCACATCTACTGTTTGAACGCCTTTCACCTCTCAATGCTGTGGAACATATTCAAATATGTGATAGTTTGTTTAGGTAAAGCTTCTGTATACTATTTCTCTCTCCCTTTCATTTGACAATAGCAAGGAGAACTTTAATTTGGGTATATTTGTGGATTTGTGTTTCCAATTTCCATTGAATTTATTGGTGATAAAGTTGTCTTTTGGGATAGTGCATTTTCTGAAACATGTAAACTCAGATGAGGATGTTATTTTTAATAGAGATTGGAAGTCTATAAGAAAAAAGAGAAGTAAGCCTAGTGGGTCTGAAAGACCAAAGCTGTGTATCTCATATCAATATTGCACCCTTGCTGTCTAATGCCTCTGCATATTTGAAACTGAAACTAAGATGTCATCCTACATGGGACAAAAAGTGGAGAAGAAACAGAATTTGTCAGATCATAACAACGACAGTAAATGATACTAAAATACAAAAGTATACTTAAAACACACATATATGGATATACATGAAAAAGGATTAGGGCAGGAAACCAGTACTCTCTTTGTAATTTCTTAATTCAAATAGTACAAGGAAGTACATTATATAGAGCTCTACTGCCTAGCATACAATAATTAATAAGAGCTCTACCACCTAACATAATCAATAAGATCTTTTTGTAATTAAATGCTCCTCCTCAAGCTGGTCAATGGATATTAGTCATTCCCAGATAATCAAATTGTTTTGTGGGAAGTTCCTTTGTAAAAAGATTTGCAAGCTAAATTCCGCAAGGGATGTAGAAAGCAATTACAAGGCCACTCTCTTGTTTCTCTTTGACGAAGTAGTGCCAGTCTACCTGTATGTGCTTGGTCTTATCATGCTGGTCAAGATTGTGAGCAAAACTAATAGCTGATTTATTTTCACAAAAGAGTCATGGAATCTTCACATTTCACTTTAGGATTATTCAAAATAATTTTCAACCATAATAATTCACACACCCTTTGTGCCATAGCTCAAAATTCAGCCTCCACACTGGACCTTGCAACCCATTTTTTTCCTTACTTCTTCAAGACACAAAGTTTCCACCTAGGAACATGCAATATCTTGAGGTGGACCTCCTATCATTAACATACCTAGCATATTCTGCATCAATATATCTCCTTGTTTCATTTTCCATGCTTCTTAAACAACAACCCCTTTTCTTGATTTGTCTTCAAATATTGAAGGATAGGCTGTAAGATCATGCATGAATTGATTGACCAATATCACAACATAAGCATGTCTTGTCTAGTGTGGTCTAGTCTTTGATATTGACCCTTATTTACTGCAAAACCGTCTTCATCATTCCCAATTTTATAGTTTTGTTCTATAGGCTCTAGTGGCCTTGCAATCAATTTACTTGTTTTTCTAATAAGGTCTAAAATATATTTCCTTTGGGAGAGAAAGATGCTCTTTCTTGAATATGCAACTTCAATCCCAAGGAGATACTTCAATTTTCCTCAATCCGTCATCTCAAATTGAGCAACAAGCCTTTCCTTCCAGATCAATTTCGCCCACTCATCATCTCTTGCAACAATCATGTCATCGACATAGACTAATAGAAGTGTAATCTTCCCTTTTGAGGAATGTTTGATAAACAAGGTATGGTCACCTTGACATTGTTGCTTTCACAAGGAAAACATTGCCTAATTTAGTCTCCCAAATCAAGCACAGGGTTATTGTTTGGATCCTTACAAGGCTTTGCTTCAGTTGACACACCTTATTTCTCTTTTTAGTTGATCCAAATTTAGATGGAATGATGAATAATTCCTACCATTGAGATGATTATTTTCGGGCAAATGCAAAAGATCAACATTGCTTAATGGGGAAATGCCATCAGAGACAAGTGGTCCAAGAAACATCAGATTTGAAACGATGGATATTGATGACACAAATGGCTGTTTAAATGGAAGATGTGGCCAAAATGGTGGTGGGAGCACTTAAAGCAATCCAAAAAGTAAGGTGGGTGCACTTTAGGCAACACAAACCATAGAAAGAGAAATTGGAACTAAGCGGTTGTTTGAATGTGGGAGCAGAGCCCAAATGTCAGGGAGCTTTGTTACCAACTTGAAAAAGGATTAGGGCAGAAAGTAGAAACTTGGATTCTAATTTCTTAATTCAAGCAGTACAAGAAAGTACATTATGTTGATATCCCTACCACCAACTACAATAAGATATTTTTGTAATTCAATAGGTATAAGGTAACAGACAAGAAAATTAACAATCAAATCACAATCAGCATTTAAAGTTGTGCATAAGATTGTACAGCAAAACTCCAAGTGTACAAGATGATAGATTAAAACAGCAAGTGAACGGGGGATCAAATCTCACAAACAGCTTGAACCTATATTTCTAATAGAAATCAATCAAATTTGAATGGAAAGTGAGAGCAGATCAGTCAGGTTGCACAACAGAGCAAAGAAAAGACTTCTCATAGCAGAGAATAAGGGATATTTACACAACCTAGGTGTAGGAAAAGAGCCACAACATAGATGCACAACCTAACCCCTGGAGAGGACTAAAAAATGTTGGGAGATAAGAGAGAGAGAAGTCTGGTGTAAGTTAGGTGAGAGGGAAAATGAGAATTGTGTGGAGAGTGAACAAAGAAGAATTTTAGGGCAAACATTTTTTGCTATTTTTCCTTCATTGGGTCACTCAATCAAGATCTGACCTGCCAAAACAGCATGAACCCAGGTGAGAGAAGATTTACAATCCTGTGTTTTAGCTAGCAAAATCAATAACCCTACTTTGATCTTGCTCCCACTTGATCCTACTTTGACTTGAGGAGGCTCCAGCACATGAACTTGCAGGACTGTATGTACGATTGTATGAGTAAATGCTCGGTCTTTACAACCTTGTCACAACTTACTTGAAACTGCTAAGGGAAGCCATAAAATCTACATTACCCTGAAGTGAGGGCAAATGGGATGCCCTTGGAGATGTTAAATTGCGTACCAATTTATTTTATACAATAGAACCACACAAACTACACAATGCCAATGAAATTTGCCGTTACTTTCTTCCAAAGGTTTTTGAAGTGAAAAATGAGACAGCATGTTTGTATGTGTTTAAACGTATGTCAACGAGTGTTGGATTTGAAAGCTATCAAGAGTTGCTTCAAGATGGATCTGTGTTGAAGACTGAGTGGACATTAAACCAAACAGCAAAACACACAGGACCAATTCCAAATTTACATTCAATATTCATGAGATGCCTACATGTTTATAGCATGAGTGTGCATTTAACATCCTGTATCATTGGGTATCTGCCTTTGAATTTTATTGTGGCTAACAATTTTCCTGAATGCTTGTTTTTGCTATAACCTTACGTAATATTGGGAATTTCATCCAGGCTTATTGAGAAGTCAATTTGTTCAGCATACGATGTTGTTCGTCAGACACATCTTCAAAATCCTGGATCGACAGGAGGCCCTGATGTTATGGATATAGATAACTCTTCAGGATATAGTTCTTTCATAGATCTACCAAAGGAACTTTTTCAGATGCTAGCTTGTACTGGACCTTATCTCTACCGTGATACTGTACTGTTGCAGAAGGTGGATTAATTTTTTTTGTTAGTTTGTTAACTTCATTTTCCGTGCTATGTTTTTAATCCTGATATCTCTTCATTTTCTCCAAAAAATGAGTAGGTTTGTAGGGTGTTGAGAGGTTATTACCTTTCTGCTCTTGAGCTTGTAAGTCGCAGCAATGGTGTCTTTAATCCTCAATTACATGTTCCTGGAAACCCTAACCTACATCTTAAGGAGGCAAGGCTAAAGGTGGAGGATGCTTTAGGAGCATGTGTATTACCTTCCCTGCAGTTAATTCCTGCCAATCCAGCTGTTGGCCAGGAAATATGGGAACTAATGAGTCTTCTTCCTTATGAGGTTCTTGTTATTATTGTTTTACCGTTTTACATGTTTTGTTGTTAGCTATTATTGAAAGCAGGTTGTTGAATGTTATCTATTTAGGTGCGATATCGATTGTATGGTGAATGGGAGAAAGATGATGAGCGCATTCCTATGCTCTTAGCTGCAAGACAGACTGCCAAGGTTTGCAGATCTATACATATTTGGTAGCATCTGCACTAAATGAGCTTGATTCTTTGTTATTCTCATTCTCTTGACTCTCTCTACAGTTGGACACTAGACGTATTTTGAAACGGCTGGCAAAGGAAAATTTGAAGCAATTGGGTCGGATGGTTGCAAAATTAGCCCATGCCAACCCTATGACTGTCCTCCGCACAATTGTTCATCAGGTGCTAATTTAGTAGTGCTTTTATACTTTGATATACTAAAGATCCCTGACTGCTTTTAATAATTTTCATTCTATCATTGTAATTTTTGCAAATTATGTGATTTGGCAGATTGAGGCTTACAGAGACATGATTACTCCTGTAGTGGATGCATTTAAGTACTTAACCCAGGTAGGTGTGCACATGTCATTGTTTTTTCTTCTCTTCCTGTTTACTGAATCCATTAGAGACTCTTTATATGTGACCTCATAATAAGCAAGAAGGCATGAAAAACATATTCTTTTTTTGACAATAGTGAGTATATAGAATGTTTTAGTGTCAGCCTGATGAGTTAATTCAATGAAAAAATTTATCATGATTCAATTAATTGTATTTGTTTTATTTACATTTTCATCTACTGTTGATTCAGGTTTTTTTTTTGGTATTTTTTCTAAGTAAAATATTTTTAATAAGCAACAAGGAAAATTAATATGGTGATGGAGTGACGAAAATTTGCAGTCCTGCTAAGCAGCGGTGTTAGTAAAACTGATGGACAGAATGACTAAAATGCTAAAAAAACAACACTATTATGCTTTCTAGTCATATCTGACTGAAAATTTTACAATCACAAGAGTGAAATGAAAAGGTCACAATGTGTCTTATCCATTTTGGTGCAACTTATATTTTTAGTGACCCTTTACTAGAGAAAATAGTAACTTACTAGTTTGTTGGGATGGAGGAATTTGGAGGGAAAAGAGAAGATTGCCCAAAGAGATTTGAGACTTAATTTGAAATCTAAAAAATAAACTGAGGGGAGTAGAAATAAATAAATTGTATGAAAAAACTTTGTAAAAATAAAAAGATTGTTTCTCGAATGCACTGTGGCTGGCAACAGAGGGAGAGATGGCCACCAGGTGGCGCAGGTGTCTCTTGGTCAGCCTGATTCTGGGGTTGCGGATGCCGGTATGAAAGCTAATAGCAGAGTGTGGTGGAAAAAACAGTTGGAAAAACATCATAACAAAGTGGGAGGTCGGATACTGGAATCAAACACGATTTTTGGAAAAAATTTGGCATTGATAGACATTGGGTTCATAGGGGAGGCATGGATCCTAGTTAGGCTCTAGATACCATGGCGAGGGAAAAGATATAGAGTGTTTGTGTGGAGAAGTTCGTGAAGGCACATAATCTTATGAGTCAAACTGCTAGTTTCATATCAGACAATTAGTGGGAATATGGTGATAAGTTATAAAAGATGATATTAAAACCTGATTACGTTAAAGAGATCATCTAGGGAGAAAAATGAAGCCTGATTATGCTTGGTGAACAAATAAATTCTAGAAAGAAGCTTCTGTGGATTACAGTTACCATGAAAGGTTCATGCTATAAAAGAAAAAAGAGATGATACTCAGCCTCTACATTGTTGTCCACAAGGCAACATCAATCAAATTCCCGTTTGAATCAATTTCCCTCTGAAAGATGAATTTAAACTCCGAATGAAAAGCTGTTGCGGCATTAAAAAGGAACACGTGGTGAAAAATATTCTTAAAAAGCTTTGAACCCAATAGTATCATATGCTTCATATCTCCTATTTCACTTGGTCAGATAAGGTTTTTGTGCATTTATTATTTTATACCTTTTGAAGTTGTTTAGACATTGGTATATAGTTTTCTACCTGGACCTTATTTACTTTTTATTTTCCATTTAACAGCTCGAGTATGATATATTGGAATATGTTGTGATTGAGCGATTGGCACTTGGTGGACGTGATAAGTTAAAGGATGATGGCCTTAATTTGTCAGACTGGCTTCAATCTCTAGCTTCATTTTGGGGCCATCTGTAAGTTATTTGTTTCCTTGTGACTTCTATTATATCAGAATTTAAATTTGAGGTTCGGTTTATCTTTTTCTTCACATATTGTCTTGGGCGTCCGGATAATTAAAGGAAATACTTGACTAAATATTGTCGGATTGTACATACTATTCTTCTCATTAAAACATCAATTTAATAGCAACATGTCTTTGTTAGGTGATTGCGTCATTCCCTAGCCAGTTCATGCAAACTCTTATTTTATTGGAATTATGTATGATTAAGTAATAATGTTGATAATGACATTTATTAGTCATATTTATACATTTATGTCTTCCTATAGAATTTAGATATATGCGGGATGCCTTGTATCAAATTCCAGGATGCAGATCAACCTTAGCAAATGCTGGATTACTGGGCATAGCAGCATTTTATGTCCCTGAGTGGTAATGTCAGATCAAATTCAAACCATTTGGCTTGCTTGTTGGTGGGCATGCACAGACTGCTGTATGATGTTCGCTTTCTGGTATCTGCTGACAGATTTTTTGGAATGGTTATCTGTTGGTTGGAAGGGATGGACATTCTGTGTTGTAATTTGTTTCTTACCTATAATTTGGTAAAGGAGATTGAAAAGGTTAAGAAGGGCATTTAAGATATAGAAGTGACATGTGAGCTGCGATCACAGTACCATGATTATTTGGGAATTATCTGATTTGAATGAGGTTGTTCATTAAGTTGGATCTTTGTCTTTCGATTGTAGCTTGGAATGGTCAGTACTGTTGCCATATACACTTAATTAATGGAGATGAACGGATGGGTACTGACAAAATGCTATGACTTCAGCAGAAGTGTTGGAGTTTTTTATTATGTGAAGGATGGATTATGTTGTATGACTGATGTGTGTAATTCTCAATGGTATTTTGATCATTTCTAATGTCAAAAAACAGGATGATCAGTTTAGTGGTATTTATGGGGTATTATGCGAAGGAGGGGGCTGGTGCTTTTAACTATACATTACTGTTTGTCTACACCAAGTTCATGATGATTATCAAAGAATTAAGGAATTAAATTCCTAAGCTGTTGGCCATGTAGACATGATGGAACCTGAACTGTTTACTTGGTGGTTGCTGTGTGATGACTAGTCATTCTTGCTAAAATCCTACTGTTGGACATGAATGGTTGGTCCTTGGTGCTGGGCTTATAACATGTAGGTTTGGATCCTTCTGATGAGACTTCGATTGTAGTAGCATTCTTGTAAGTTGTCGACTCCATTAGTTTACTTCCTCTTGTGATACTAATGGTGATGGCTATATATGAAGGAAACCATTTATTCCTGCGGAAACTGTTCACTGCATATCCACAAATAGACCTAATGGAGGAGTAAATTGATAAATAGTATATTCTTTCTTCAAATAAGAGGAAGACAGAATATACAGCTTTTCATTTGACCTTGTCGTCAGTAGTTTACTTGATTGATCAACCATAGTTCAGTACGTCAGGATGTTTCATTATTGTGTTGTCTGTATAGCACTGAGACGCCCATCTTCCATTGAGCGGAAGAGCATAACAATTTTTTCTAATATCTGGTCTTACTTTGCAATATACCTCAAAAATGAAGAATGATACACTTGTGGCTGCACTATTTTTGCTGAGCATACGTGTTAAATTTTGAACAACTTTGGTTGGGTGCCAATATTCTGCTAGGAATTTGTTTTTGCCTTGGAGGGATGGGGATTGAAATGCCTGGAGCAGTTTGGTTTGGTTATCTTTCTTTCTCTCTCTACAGTGTTCCCTTTTCTTGTATATATTATTGAGTGTGTAATAATATAACAAAAAATTGAGTGTGGTTGTATTCTGGTTTAGCTTTTCTGAATTCCTCTGCTTGGTGAATTTAACTATGGTTTAATGGTTATCTCTCCTAAAAAAGGTGCCTTGATTATATAATTGGTTTGCCACATAGAGATGTAGTTGTTACTTACCAACACTTGTTAAATAAAAATTGGAAATTGGAGGAGATGTCTTGGCAACATTTGTTTCAAGTAAAAATATTAAGTTATTAAACTAGAAAATTATATAATTTTAATTAAGTAGCAAAAAAAAAAAAAACAGAAAAGAAATAAAATGGACCAGTTGATATTACTGTTAAGTAATGCGAACAAGTGGAGGATCCAATGTGAATAATGTCTGTAGTTAAGGTGTCGTAGGTTACATTGTTGAGTTCATTCATCTTTTTGTGGGTGATAAGAGAACCTGATTGCGAACCTTCATGATTCAGCAATTTCATTATGTAATTTAGTAGAATTCTTGGGACAGGTGTGGATATCATTATATACCAAATTAAAAGGGTTTTTCACTAAACATTTGAATATATGAAATTGTGCTTTCAACTTCACTCTTTTTTTTTTTTCTTTTTTTTTTTTTTATCTGTTGATGTAGTGTTAGCTTGTAATTGGTATTTTGTTTTCGATTGCTCTTGTTTTTATTATTTCCTGCTTATGTTCAAAATTTGAGTAGGATCTATGTGATTACTGCTTCAAGAAGAACAATTTTCTTTGAATGTTTTCATATCCTCCAGTCATTTGTTCATTGTAGGTGTAAGAAGTACCCATCAATGGAATTACGGGGCCTTTTCCAGTATCTTGTGAATCAGTTAAAAAAAGGGCAAGGAATTGAGCTTGTTCTACTGCAGGTGTTTCTTCTTTTTCTGCTTTTTCTAATAATAAATAATTGTATGTTGAGGTCCTCGCGCAAAATCAAATGTTGGCTACTAGTAATATTTGTGGGTTTTGTTAGGAGCTTATTCAACAAATGGCAAATGTCCAGTACACTGAGAACTTGACTGAGGAACAGCTTGATGCAATGGCAGGTAGTGATACTCTCAGATATCAAGCAACTTCTTTTGGGGTAACTCGGAATAACAAGGTACAAAATCTATGTTTTAGTAGATTCTCTAAAGTAAGATATTAATGGCATTGCAGTTTGGATGGATTGAAATTCTACTTCAGATGTAAGAGGCAGAGTTTTATGTGGGGCAAATGTCGATTCCCTCTGTTAATTTGTATTGGCCTAGATGTTTTTGTCTGTATGTACTGACCGAGTAATTAACACTCATCAGATTATATTTTAGCATTGAAAAAATTTGCCAGACATTTACTGAACGAATGTTGTTTGATTTGTCCGTGATGATGGAGATTATAGATTAACTTCCGGAAGTGAATAAGTGTTAATTAATTTTAGTTATTGAACTATGCGTTGTTTAAAGTTTATCATCTGACTTGGGGGTTGACATGGTACGTTACTCTAGTTATCTGATATTAAGTGCAGGCATTGATAAAGTCAACTAGCAGACTTAGAGATGCATTACTTCCAAAAGATGAACCAAAGTTGGCAGTCCCGCTGTTACTGCTTCTTGCTCAACATCGTTCTCTGTAAGCTTATAAACTTAAAAATGTTATAATTGATCACGATTCTATTCTCAAAGTTTAATGTTTTTGCAGGGTTGTCATCAAGGCAGATGCACCCTACATTAAGATGGTTAGTGAGCAGTTCGATAGATGTCATGGAACTCTCCTTCAGTATGTGGAATTTCTTGGCAGTGCAGTCACACCAGCATCAAATTATGGCATTCTTATTCCCTCCCTCAATGACCTGGTCCACCTTTACCACCTTGACCCTGAGGTTTTTGTTTTTCCGTTGAATCTATTTCATTATGAACTTCCTGCATGTTCTATTGATAATTGCTACATTTTTTTATCAGCTATTCTGTCCTGGTTTTCCCTTTATCTGCTGCACTTATGGTACATCATTCTTCACTTGAATCTGTATTTAACGCCATTTTTTGTCCGCTGGACATAGGTTGCTTTCTTGATATATCGTCCTGTGATGAGGCTTTTCAAGTCTCAGAAAAATCCTGACGTTTATTGGCCCTTGGATGATAAAAATTCTGCTAGTGATGCATCTTCGAACATTGAATCAATTCGCTTGGATAATTCTGGTAGTATGGTTCTAAATCTTGGCTCTGCTCAAAATCCTATAAGGTTATAACCCTAACCTTTTTCACCACGAGATGTTTTCGATGCCATTCCATTTGATAAACTTAAGTCTGAAATGTAAATTATTATCTGTTTCTGATATGCAATAAGATGTGCAAATTTTATTTCTGCTATTTTGTGGATTAGTATTTACTATTTTATAACTTTGTCCAGTTGGTCGTATCTTCTTGATACTGTTAAAACCATGTTGCCTCCAAAAGCATGGAATAGCTTATCTCCTGATCTTTATGCAACATTTTGGGGACTTACATTATATGATCTGTATGTCCCAAAAAATCGATACGAATCGGAAATAGCCAAGCTGCATGCAAATCTTAAATCTTTGGAGGAGCTTTCTGACAATTCCAGCTCAGCAATTACAAAGAGGAAGAAAGAAAAGGAAAGAATTCAGGAATCTCTTGACCGTCTGATTAGTGAACTGCATAAACATGAGGAGAGTGTTGCATCTGTTCGTAGACGGCTATCTCATGAAAAAGACAGATGGTTAAGTTCCTGTCCTGACACCTTGAAGATCAACATGGAGTTTCTTCAGCGTTGTATTTTTCCACGCTGTACTTTCAGTATGCCAGATGCTGTTTATTGTGCTATGTTTGTCCACACACTGCATTCCCTTGGAACCCCCTTTTTTAACACAGTCAATCACGTAGATGTTTTGATTTGTAAGACCCTTCAACCTATGATTTGCTGCTGCACTGAATATGAGGCAGGCAGGCTTGGCAGGTTTCTGTATGAGACTTTGAAGATTGCTTACTATTGGAAGGTACCTTTTTTTTTCTTAACAAATTTTCTTTTTCATATAATTTTAAGGAATTCATTTTATTAATTTTCACTATTTTTTAATTCCTTTTGTTTTTCCAGAGTGATGAATCTATTTATGAACGTGAGTGTGGAAACATGCCAGGCTTTGCCGTCTACTATAGATATCCAAATAGCCAGCGAGTTACATATGGGCAGTTCATTAAGGTAAGTTCTTGTCAATACTGGTTTAGACTGCTGTGAATCTCTTTGCCTTAGTTAAGTAGATCTAATCTCTTTTCTCAACTTTGTGAGCTTGCATATTACCTGTGCATCACTCAATAAAACTAACTAAAATAATTAAAATTAAAATATAAAATATTGTTAGAAAGTTGTTTTAATTCTGGACTCTCTTAGACCAGTTTAGTTGTGGCTTCTTTTGAGTTTTTTTTTTAGTTGCAACCTCAAAGGGAATGATTTAATTTATATAACTTAAATATAACATATTATAAAGCTTGGACAGAAGACAAATTTTCTAAGAAATGTTACATGATATAAATTTTAAAAATTTAATGCAGAAGATATTATAATAAAAAATAATCTATTGAACCATCTGATATAATAACATACATATAATTTATGTATAAATAGATATAAATATTCAATTTATTTTTTTTAGTGTTTATAGTTCAAGTAAAAAACAAATTGATAAGTATAGATTACTTTGAAATGAATGCTATATGAATGTATAGCTTATTTACCTTTAAATATTCAAATTTTACTATTTTCAGTTGTTTGTTAATATAATTTTGGTGGAATGGTCAATTTGGTCCTTTAAATTATACCGAAAATTTCATTTAGTCCTAAAATTTAAATAAATTAAAATAAGGTCCTTTAAAATAAATTCAATCTCTTATAATCATACTTCATTTCAAGTAAGTCCCTGCATATTGTTATTAAAATATAATTTAGGCCCTCTATAATTGATAAAATACAATTTAGTCTAAAATGTGAAAAATGAAGGTTACTTTAAGGGAATATTTACTTATTTATTTATTAATATTCAAAGAAGAATTTGAAAAAAATTCCACTTTAAAGAATGTCCATTCAACCTATAATTTTCATCCTGTAAAAGAATTCAACCTCAATTAATTATTTACAATTAAAAAAGATCTTATCATAGCTATAGTACTGTTGTTTAACATTTATATTTAACGTATTATTTTGTCTATATTTATACAAATTTTGATATAAAATTTAATTATGTTATTTTAATAAACATTTTAAAATTTAAATTAATTAAATAGTATTCAAATATTCTTTCATTTTAAATTTGAAATAATGAAATTGAAGATAATTAGACTTATAATAAAAAAATTATATCATGTATTTGAAAAATTTATGTCGTGATATTTCTGTAAAACATTCATCATGTCGGCATATATAATTTCATTATTTCATTTAATATTTTTTTCTGAAAGGACTGGAGATTATATTTATATATTTCATGAATGTGAAAAATATATTAGTGAGGCCGAAATTTATTTTAGTGTAAGTTAAATAACATAAATTCTGTCTTATTAATTTTATATACTTTTGTATTTGCATTTTGTCTGATAGGTACACTGGAAGTGGAGTCAAAGAATCACACGTTTACTAATTCAGTGTCTGGAATCTAGCGAGTACATGGAAATTAGAAATGCTCTTATAATGTTGACAAAAATTTCTAGTGTTTTCCCTGTTACACGGAAGAGTGGGATAAACCTCGAAAAGCGAGTAAGTTATCCTTATTAAAAACTTTCCTTGTACTAGTAATTTAAAATATTACATTTAAGTCATTATATCTTCCATGCAGGTAGCTAAGATTAAAAGTGATGAAAGAGAGGATCTTAAAGTGTTGGCCACTGGTGTTGCAGCAGCATTAGCTGCTAGGAAGGTATGCTTGTCACTTACTTCAGTTTGCCGGTATTTTGTTTCAGCATACTAATTCTAACTCATTTTGCAGCCTTCTTGGGTTACCGACGAAGAATTTGGTATGGGTTATCTTGAGTTGAAACCTGCACCATCTTTGACTAAATCTTCAGCTGGCAATTCAGCAACTGTACCTAGTGGGATCAATCTCAATGTTTCACAAACTGAATCTGCCAGTGGAAAACATGTGGACTCTGGAAACACAGCCAAAGATCAGTTAATAAGAACAAAACCTGTAGATGGCAAGTCTGAAAGAACTGAAAGCATTACCACGGCAAAATCTGATTCTGGCCATATAAAAGTCAAGAGTGGTTCAATGGTGAATGGATTAGATGCCCAAACATCCTTGGTTGCATCTTCTGTACAATCTGGGATGTCAAAATCTACGGAAAACTCAAAGCAAGTGGAAGAATCCTTAAATAGAGCATCAGATGATCATGGGACTAGAATTTCTGAGGTAGTTTCTAATATTTCAGTTTTAATAGTTTAGTGGCAAGGTTTCTTGGATGCATTTGGGGTATAATCTGTTGGGTTGAAGATTAAGGATGAAAACTGAAGTTGGATGTAAGGATTGATTGGTTCTAGGACAAATTGATGCTAGAGTCAATGATTAAGCTCAATAACTTTTAATATGGTCTTGCAACTAAATCAGGCCTGACGAAAACACAACATCATAAATGCTTAACTGATTTTGCCCCAAGTTGTATTATGATAAGAAATCTAGGATCGAAGGTTATTGTTGAGTAAAAATATCCACCATATGCTAAACCTAAGTGTTTTTAAAGCAATCAATTTCTTAAATTATATATGATAACACAATACCAAAGTATTTTTTCTCTTCTTAATCTTCAATTTATTATAGTTTTCCATTTTTATATTTTATCCAGAATAATTTGATTCTTCTCTTTTCAGTCAAGAAGTTCAGCAAAGCGTTCAGTGCCTACTGGTTCACTTTCAAAGCCCTCAAAACAAGACCCTGTAAAAGAGGATGGTAGGTCTGGAAAACCAGTTGCTAGAACTTCTGGTTCCTCGAGTAGTGACAAAGATCTACAAACCCATGTGTTGGAGGGAAGACACAGCGGAACTACCAATGTAGCTTCTTCAGTTAGTGCTAATGGTAACACCATTTCATGTTCTACTAAAGGTTCAAATCCACCAGTAAGGATTTCATTGGATGGTCCAGGTAATGAGTCAAAGGCAGAGATTGGAGTTTCCAAGTCTTCTGATATTAGGGCATCTGTGGTGAAGGATGATGGAAATGATACCACTGATTTCGTGAGAGGATCTTCTTCTCGTGTAGTGCATTCCCCTAGGCATGAAAACACAGGAGTCGCGTCAAAATCTAATGATAAAGTTCAGAAGAGAGCCAGTTCTGCTGAAGAACCAGACAGATTAGGTAAACGACGGAAAGGGGATGTTGAGCTAAGAGATTTTGAAAGTGAAGTTCGATTCACTGAAAGAGATAAGCTGATGGATCCTCGCTTTGCTGATGACAAATTGGGACCAGAGGAACATGGTCTATCCAGGGCAGGTGATAAGCCACTGGAACGGCCGAAAGAGAAAGGCAGTGAAAGATATGAAAGGGAGCACAGGGAAAGATTAGACCGAATGGACAAATCTCGTGATGACTCTGGGGCAGAAAAACCTAGGGATAGATCAATTGAAAGATATGGAAGAGAACGATCTGTTGAGAGATTGCAAGAGAGAGGTAGTGAGAGGAGTTTTAATAGACTCCCTGAGAAAGCTAAGGATGAAAGAAGCAAGGATGATAGAAATAAATTACGTTACAGTGATGCATCAGTAGAAAAATCTCATGCTGATGATCGCTTCCATGGTCAAAGCTTGCCTCCACCACCCCCTTTACCTCCTAATATGGTTCCTCAATCTGTAGGAGCTGGTAGGCGTGATGAAGATGCTGATAGGAGGTATGGAGGTACGAGGCACTCTCAAAGACTTTCTCCAAGACATGAAGAAAAGGAACGGAGACGATCTGAAGAGACTGTGGTTTCTCAGGATGATGCTAAACGCCGAAAAGAAGATGATTTTCGAGATCGAAAACGGGAAGAAATTAAGGTATGAAATAAATATTTGGTATCAATTCTCACTCTAAATTATTTGCTACCATAGAAGCACGGATATGTACTTTGTGGTGGTTAGGACTTATGCATGTTGTATATGGATATGTGTGAACGTAATGATGGTTATTAGTCAATTTGATAACAAATGACTGGCTGTCACGTTTTTAGAAATCATGGGTTTCTATGAAGAACTACTGATTTCTTAGTTGATGTCTTGATGGTAATATAAATATATTAATTATCACTTGAAGCTGAAAGTATAACAGTGAAAAAATAACTTATTTTGAAGAAAGTATGAGGGTTTCGTTGGTACTGTTTTAGTAGGGTTAATTATTGCAAGAATAAAGAATATCAGAATGTAGGATTGCTTCAGTGGTTTGATTTTCTTTCTAATTTATACTATTGCAGTATTACATACATAAATTTTTTGCAGTGGCAGGCTTTTGCCTTTTACATTTTGCTTGATATTTTACTATGTCGAAGTAGTAGTAGATTGTGCTTCTCAATACCTCGGTGTTTGAATAGACTGGGTAAATGATAGGTGATAAGGCTGTCTTTATTCTTATGATACATAATCTTTCTGATCTATATTCCAGGTTGAAGAGAGGGAGAGAGAAAGAGAGAAAGCAAACATTCTAAAGGAAGAATTGGATTTAAATTCCGTGTCCAAGAGACGCAAACTTAAGAGGGAGCATCTACCTGCTGGTGAACCTGGGGAGTACTCACCAGTGGCTCCTCCACCTCCTCCCCCTGGTATTGGTATGTCACTAGGGTATGATGGAAGGGATAGAGGAGACAGAAAGGGACCCATTATCCAGCATCCAAACTACATAGATGAACCAAATCTGAGGATTCACGGTAAAGAGGTGGCCAGCAAGTTGAATCGTCGGGAGTCAGACCCGTATCCTTCACCTGTTGATATGCATGCTTATTATTTTAATTCATGATTACGTGTCTTTCAATATATCTTCTGGTGGAGCATCACTACCATTTACATCTTTCACGTAAGAAATCCTCGTATGGAGGAGTCCTTTGTTGATGAGTTCTTAATCATCCATGGTATTTTATTTATGCATGTTTTAGCTGCCTGATGTTCAATCACTTTTTCATAGAAAAGGAGACCTAATTTGAAATCCTATAGCTTTTTTGCGTTACTTTAGTTAAAGAGATGTTTTTTGGATATGGTATTTCCATTCTATTTGTTCAGTGCTGTGGCCTTAATTGAGTATTAGCTTGTATGATCGTGAATGGGATGATGAGAAGAGACAAAGAGCTGATCAAAAGAGAAGGCACCGGAAGTAGCGAATCAAAAGGGGAGGGGATATCGAAACGAAACTTTTTTTCAAGGATGTTCCATTTCATGCACTCGCTATAATGCTAACCTTGTGCGTGAGTTGAGGTGGTGGGTTCACAACACTTTTAACTGTCAGCCCCCTCACTTTTGTGGTAACTTTTGCCAGATTTCAGCAGTTGAGATTATTTAGTCTTCTTTCAAATGTGAGCATGAAGAAGTTGTGAATGTCTTATACACTTGTATATAGTGTTGTATATTCTGGATAGCGGGTGGTCAAATGTACCCTGAAAATGTGATTGTTTCCTTTGAACCTTCATTTACATCAATAGACAGACCTAGGAAACATAAATTTTGTAGACTTATTGCAACTGCTTTGGTGGTCTTTCATGAATACAGTTCGCTGCACCTGTGGTTTACACTTCCTTGCTATTAGGGATGAATCATGTCTCTGCATTATCAGTTGTTAAACGCAAATATTTGATGTTATACAATATTTTGTGCATTCGTATTGGGTAGTCAATGCGAGTATGTGCTTAATCAATTCATAAATACTACATCCTACTCAAATATTAGTTTCCCAACTCAAAAATCTATTTCGTCCTTTTAAAAAAAAAAAAAAAAAAAAAAAGACACGTAAATTATTCACACGTAAATACTACTAGCATAGTAGAGTTTTTCGATCTAAACGTAGATTTTTGCTTGCCATTTGTCATTAGATTTTGCAACGTTGCACGAAGAAACATTGTAGTCTACTGTTATCCTTGTTTCCCTAGTCCCAGGAGAGGATGATGTGTCGAGTGCCACTATTACTAAAAGTAGCTGAGTTTTGTAAATTAAATCATTACCGAAGTCCAATGATTAAGGAACCGCAATTTTTAATTTCATGAATACAGGGCATGGAATACATTAATATGGGTCGGAGAATGGGTTGTAAGTAGAAGTGGGAGAAGCTATGTTGCTCGTGCTTGTGTCATCTGCATGCTCGTCGTTCTTGTGTTCTTCCTTGGCATTAATGCTATGATGCTCGATACCAAATCCATCTTTCCATCCCCGGAGATACAAGAAGCTGCACAAGTCCCTCGGATAAGCATGGCTAAAACTAATAGAGGATTCCAAAAGTGTCTCCCAGCTAACGTCATCTTCTATTTCTTGTTCAATCAAAGGTTTCTCTTCTTCAGCATCAAACACTTCACCTTTGATGTCAACGTTTCTTCTCATCACTACTTGTCTTTCGGTGAAATCTGAAGGAGATTCCACACTAGATGATGAAGGGCTGGTAGTTGGGGACGAAGACTCCGTTAACTGCCACATGCCACTCAGAAAACTTTCCAAAGCTTTGATTTGTATGTATGGAATTGGCTCCACCAAAGGATACTCGTACAAACCACACAAACCCTTTACCTTGCACCACTCGTAGAACTCATAAAGCTCATTGGTTTGAACTGCAGCTTTCTTGTAAATGTTGAAAGCGGCTATGCAGTTCCTATACGGCATGTCAAGTAGATTGTCCAAAACCCCAACTATCTCTCTTCTGAACTTTGTGTAACAAACGAAGCTGTCACGAATTATAAGTTTCATGGCACACTGCACAATAAAACTTCGTGCTGCCACCCCCATTGGATAACATGCCATCACCCTATCTATAAGGCTTTGTAGTTGTGGCAACACTTCAAGCACTTCACCCAGTTCCTTCAATTTCTCGTGAAAACTTTCCGTTTCAGCAATAGGTTCTTCTTTCTCATCTACTTCTTGCCCTTCCATTTTGGTGTCATCCAAAGCAACACAGTTGAGGGCTTCATCCAGAAGGTGTGCGTAAGATATGATAAAGTTTGTGTAGGAAACCGGACAAGAGGAGGAATCATCCTTGAAATGGCAAGGGTGGAGAGAAATCAAGGCATTGGAACGTGTCCACAAGAGTTCACTCCAGAGGGTGCTGTTTCCCGGGACAGAACGAAGCAAACGGTGAAGAAGAATGAGACACTTGAGTGCAACACGCCAGCTACGCGTGGTTCCAAATCGACGAGTGAAGCTGATGGCGAAGGAGTGACACGTAGACGGAGAAACGGTGAAGAGTTTCAAAAGGTGTTGTATGTACTTTTCAGGCAGAGGCAAGTCATCCGGGGCTGTTGCTTTTATGATGATGAGGTTCATGTCTGAGAAGCCACTCACTGTAGCAATATTTGCATAGCTCATGCAGCTCCGTTCTTTTAGAGAAGTGCAAACTTGCCGGAACCGCCTTTGCATGTTTCTGTTTTTCCTTTACATATATATGTATATGCCTTGTTGTGTATTTGATTGGAAGGTGTTGTGGGGTGGAAGAAGAGAAGAGAAGAATGAAAGATGATTTGGTGGGACTTGTTTGCAATGGTGAACCTTAAAAATGGTGTCCCAAGAAGTAGTTGGTGGTTGTGTTGTGTTATCTCTATGGGTGCTAAATTGACCTTTTTCTGAATGGGGTTTGGTCTTTGGTGCTGCCGGGGCTACAACTACGAGGGATGTTGTTGTGTAGTAGTCCACAAACGCCAGATAGAGATGTAAACTATTGCTTCTCGAAAGAGACAGAAAGCCTGCAAAACTGTAGCATTAAGCTCAAGAACATGTACAAAAATCAGATTCTCTGTAATTACTTTACCACTCCACTATATCATATGAGACCTCAACTCTTGAATAGATTTTGTAAATATAATATATTTTTATTACAAGTAAAAGTTTAAAAGAACAAGCATTGACCGAGTTAATTCTTTTTTCATTAGAGAGGATATCTTCTAAGCATTCTGCTACTTCAGTATTTGACAAGTAACTACAAATAGTACATGTATACTAAACTCATAAGCAACTTCAATTAACATCATATTCATCTCCTTTCGTCTTTTCTGTCATATTCATGGTTTTTGCTATAGTTCCAAAGCTCTACTGCAGATTTTTCCTGCACTACTCGATCAAGTTGAGATTTGCTTCAAGTTTCAATTCCAATACTCGGCGACTCCATACTATACTTCGGTATTGATTACCACTAGTGAAGAAGACTTTGATCTCTGTGAACTCCATGAGAAAGGTATATAAGTTTCGATATTGTGATTCAATATTATACCTTGCTAAAATTATTAGCTGTTGGTTAACATCAAGAGCGGAAAATTTACATATATTTTCAATATTTTTAAATGAAAAAATTTGACAATTTGATTTAGTAAATTCAATGTATATTATCAAACATTATAATCGGTAGGTGATGCCATGAAATCAAGTGCTTTGAAAGACTCACGTTGAACCAGTGTTGAAATTTTGGTTCCTAAGACTTTTCTTGAACTAGTGTTGGTATTTACAAGTATATTTAAGTAGATTGTTGTTATTTTCTCTTTTGTATGTGCTATTTCCAAAAGTAATTCATTTTTTTAAAATAAATTATCTAAATGTAATAAACATTATAATAAATCATTTTTATTAATATATATATATATATATATATATATATATATATATATTCTCTAAATTTCTTTTAACAAATAGATTCAATGTTGATTATAAAATTAACGTTTTAAATTATGTGAACGATAAAATATTTAAAATTTAAAATTGGTTACAACGATGATATTTTAAATATTGAATTCTATTTTCTAAAGTTTATCCAATTAGTCAAATTAAAAAAAAACATATTTCATGGTGATTTAAAAAAATCCATATATATATACACGTCTCGTAACAGAAAAATATTATCCAAACATAAAATAAACTTAATTTTTTATACACATATATAACTAAATATTATTTTTAACTCTACAAAATATTTTTTTACTTAAAAATAATTTTTACAGTTGATATTTTGATTATTTTTAAAATTTGATACACCATTTCTTACTCTTTAATAAAAAAATTAAACTAAATTATAAATTTAATTTTTTAAGGATAAAATTTAATTAATACATGAAGTATATTAATATTTCTCCACAACTAAAACATATATTATTTAATCTTAATAATATGTGTAATTTATTTTGTTATTACACTGCGTGTAGCAATGAGGAGGGGCAATGGGGTAATTTAGAAGCCTCAAAAACCCTAATTGGTGGTGAATATAAAAGGCGATAAACATAAGAGACTTGCAGTTAGGTTTACCTGAGTGAGGCGCAGTGAGAGAAACCCAAACCCTAGTCGCGAAAATGGCGCAGGCAGCACCAGCTATAGAGCAAGTCCAATGCTTTGGCCGTAAGAAGACGGCGGTGGCCGTCACCTACTGCAAGCGCGGCCGCGGTCTTATCAAGATCAACGGCTGTCCAATCGAGCTCGTCGAGCCAGAGATTCTCCGCTTCAAGGCCTTCGAGCCCATCCTCCTCCTCGGCCGTCACCGCTTCGCCGGCGTCGACATGCGCATCCGAGTTAAGGGCGGCGGTCACACCTCTCAGATCTACGCCATCCGTCAGAGCATCGCAAAGGCTCTCGTAGCCTACTACCAGAAGTACGTCGACGAGCAGTCCAAGAAGGAGATCAAAGACATCCTCGTGAGGTACGACCGCACGCTCCTCGTTGCTGATCCTCGCCGCTGCGAGCCCAAGAAGTTCGGTGGTCGTGGTGCTCGCGCCAGGTTTCAGAAATCTTACCGTTGATTTCAATCCCTTTTTATTTCTATCTTTTATGCACTCGAAATGTCTTGATAGTACTCTCTCTGTCTTATTTGTCTTGCTTTGAGATTTTAATCGGATTTTGGATACTCTTACTATACAATGTTATCTTCTATCTTATTTTTTGGATTCGAAATAGTTTGTGTTTTATTTTTGTTTTGGTTGCGGTAAAGCATTCTGTTTGGTTCAGTCTGTTTGCAGTGATGTCGACTCGGGGCCAGGGTTTAGGGTTTTTCTATTTTTTGTGTATTTTATCTCTTGATTTTGGATTGGGATCGTTTTACGTGCATTGGAGTTTCTACTGTAAACATGATAAAAAATTAAGCCAAAACGTAATTCACCAATTTGGGATATGGCATGTTGTGGCACTTAATTATGCCTTTGGTTTATTCAAATGGATTAGAACTAACATTCGCTGCATTTGGTTTTCTCTGCTATTTGTTTGTGTTATGCTGTTTTATAAACCTGGTCACGACAAGGAGAAAGATGTGGTTTTTGCATTTGTGGGCATTTGGATTTCTCAGTAAATGCGTTTAACAACTTGGATGTTTATATTTAACCTACGTTGCATAAACATCGCCTGATACCTTTACCAGATCAACTTGTTTCTTGCTAGTGTCAAATTTATCTTTTGCGTTTATTGGCACATTTTGTAGACAGAGACGGAGAACGTCCTCACCCTCTGTTCACATTTGTTTTAGAATTTGAAAATACACAAATAATTTCACTTCAAATTTATAGTTTCTCTATTTAATTGTTAATGTGTGTCCAAACTCATCATCATTCATCAAATAAACCACAGCTTATGACTACTGCTGCACATCAATGTTTCCTTGATGAAAATTCCGGGAATCAAGTCATTCATGCGATTCCGTGCTAGTTTCTTTTAAATGGAGTTATATTTGATTTAGTCTGATAATTTGTCTTTTACTGCAACATATTTTCGATTAAAAAAGTTTGCCAGTGTATGTTTCTAATCTCGATAGAAGCTTTTAAAGTTCTGAATTATCCATCTGAATATTAGATCATGAATTCTAAGGATCTATTATTAAGGACGATAACTTATGCAGGTTGGTTCTTTCCATATTTTATAAATAAATCACTAATTAATGTTTTTCACTATGTTTGAGTGGAAGGAAACAATACGTACCAAATTTAAAAGTTTGAGATGTCTATAACGATTTCAGATTATCACGGATTTTTATAATCCTGTCCATTTTCAATTAAATCTGTGTTTTTTTTATAAGCCAATTTGGGATTTTTGAAGCCAGTCTAATTTATTTGTTTAGAACGTGTTTTTAATCTATAAAGCAAATTTTGGTTTATTAATGAAAGAAATAGAACCTGAATGTTAAACCCGCTTCGACTAAAAACCATTGCCCTAAATAGTAAGATATAATGAGTTTAATGCAATGAGAAAAGTGTTTTAAATGTGAATATAAATTATAAACATAAATATAAAGACACGCATGTTCAAAAATGGATCATTGTAAACTCAAGTCGGAAATTATTGGAGCAAGGATTTTGGCTTGTCAGTTACGAAACTCTTAAAACGTGATATATGCTTGACTTCACGGCATTAAGTTAGATTTAAATTTCATCATCATTTTGACACAATTATTATTTTTCTGCTCAATTTTAAATTTGATGGTCAAAATTTAATGAAAAAAATTACGAGGAAGTGTTCAAAATGAAAAAGGAAAAGGAACTAACAGAAAGAACAGGACAAGCAAAAATGTAATAAATTCCGTGTTCCGGAAAATTTAGAAGGATAAACTGTGGTTCCACGTGCAGATGTCACCATGATTTTGTGTAATGTATTTCAATTGTGAGGGAAAAAATTTACCAATTCCTTTTTATATATAATTTAATGGTTGATGAAAGTAATACATATAATTGTTTTAAATCAATACATATAGGTGTATTAAGTCAGGACCCATTCAGATAATTATCATTTTTTATTAATTAAAACCAATTATTCTTTTATTATTTTTAAATATAATAATATTTAAATATTCATAAATACTATAATTTAATATATTATATTATATTTTTCAAAATATTATATGATAAATGAGATATTATAAATATTGTTGTTATGTTATAATTATTCAAAAACTTAAGTATTTATTTGAAAGTAATTTTTTTTAAGAAATATTCTTGTAATTATTAAATAAAAAATATATTTAATTAGTAAATATTTATTTTTTAAATTATATAAATAATTGATTTATTACAATAAAATAATTTTAAATTAATTATTTATATGCTCGTAAATATAATTAATTACTGTCATTATAGTAAAATTATATATTATCATCGTAATTTAAAAAAATTTAGTTTATATTTTTTAGTTTTAATGTTGACTTTTAAAAAAAACTTTTATATATTTTTATTAAATCTAATTATAATAATTTTAATTACGAGAATAAATGAAAGAAGATAAAAGGTGAATAAAAAAAAGTAGATGAGAAAAGAAAATAAAAAAAAATATATATATATATATGATGAGAGAAAATAAAAACTTAATATAATAATAAACAAATCCACCTAATTAAATACACTGATAGAAATTGATTCGTGACAAAACATACAACCAATAATATACAATATTATTTTTCTTATATTTAGAAGTTGGTGATTGGAATACAGATGATCTGCAATTAATATAAAGGATTCCAAGTGTTCTTCCTACATTCAATAATGCAAAATAAAGGTCATATTAATTATTTATATAAATAATTAAAATATCAATTTAAAAAAATATAATAATAATTTTGTACCAACATATTAATATTTTGTTTTAAAAAAATTATTTAATTAGATGAATGTCTAAATACTTAAATATTGTTTATTTTATTAATTATAAATATTCAAATAAATTTGTAATAATTAAAATAAACATAAAAAACTAACGAATTTGATTATTTCATAAAAAAAATTATAACTAAGTAAACAAATAATAAAAAATATTAAAATTGTAAATAAATATTGTTAGAATTATGGTAGTTAGGTCACTATTAGAAGTATTATAAATAGATGTTAGGGTCTTATAAATTGGTAATAGTTGAATTTAAATGTAATTCATGAGGTGTATTTATCTTAAAAAAAATAATATATATAGTTGAATTTAAATGTAATTCATGAGGTATATTTATCTTAAAAAAATAATATATATATTTAATGAGAATAGTGTAATTAATCCTTCTAAAAATATTTCTCCCTTTTTAATATTAAGTTAGTATTAGAGCAGGTTAATCATATTGGTTTCAGTCATAATCGTTATTGCATTTCTTTATTATCCTTACAATTTCCCATAAAAACTCTAACCAATATATCTTTTGGACATAGTTGTCTCTTTTCTCAAACACTCCCTTCATTCTACACACAACCCACATCCTATTTATATTTTTCTGAGTTATCATAAGGTGTCTCTTTCCTATTGTTACAAGCTATGAATGTCGAGATGCAAGCTCTTGACTAGAATTACACATAGGAGTTAGTGTTTCTTTAACTTCGGAAGAAGACATTTGGATGTCGATGGGTTTATGTCATTAAAGTTGACCCTAACGGTGAGATTAATCGTCTTAAGACAATTAGTTGCAAAAGGGTACACACAAATTTATGGTTTTGACTGCAATTATCATTTTTCACTAGTTATCAAAATAATTAGTATTCGCCTTTTTTTATCATGGTAGTTATTTGTCATTAGTCTCTTCATCAGCTGAATATTAAAAATATATTTTTTCACGGTGATTTAAAGGAAGAAGTTTACAAGGAGCAACCTCCTGATTTTGTTGCTTAGTGGAATCCGGATTGATGTGTAAGTTATATCGTTCTCTCTATGATCACAAACAACCACCATGTATTTGGTTTGGGAAATTTAACCACATTTTTCAAACTTTTAACGTAGTGAAACTGATCATTTTATTTTTTTATTGTCACACTTCTCTTGAGAAATGTATTTACTTGATTGTAGATGTTAATGATATCGTGATATAGGAAATGATGTTACCAGAATATCTGAACTAAAAGAACACTTGTGTAATCACTTCAAACTAAGGATCTTTACAACCTAAAATATTTTTTGGAGATTGAAGTAGCTCAGTCAAAAGAAAGAGTTGTTATCTCTCAAAGAAAGTATGTCTTATATAATCTAAAGGAGACATACATGGTTGACTGGAGACTAGTACACAGTTTCATAAACCCAAATCAAAAGTTAATGACAGAATAAGGTGAATTGTTCTCTAATCCAAAAAGGTATAGAAGACTAGTTGAGAAACTTATTTATTTGACTATCACTAGACTTTTGTAGTGAGTGTGTTATAAGTCAGTTTATGCAATCTCCTTGTACTGACCATTAGAATGCTATTATTCGAATTCTAAGGTACCTCAATCAGGCCCCAGGACAAGGTTTACTATACGAAGACAAAGGAGATTCCAAAATCTTTGGATATTGTGATGCTGATTGGGCAAGATCCCTTACTGATAGGTGTTCTATTATAAGATATTGTGTTTTCCTTTGAAGAAATATTATTTTTTGGAAATGTAAGAAAAAGAATGTAGTAGACCAATCTACTTCAAAAGCTGAATACCAATGAATGATTTCTCTTACTTATGAACTTATATATATGGGTGAAATAATTTTTTAAGAATTCAACTTCTGTTATATTTAGACTATGATTTCTCGTATTTGTGAACTTATATGGATGAAACAGTTTCTTTAAGAACTCAACTTCTGTAATATCCAGACTATAAATATGTATTGTGATAACCAAACTGTTCTCCACATTGCCTCTAATCCAGTGTTTCATGAGAAAATTAAGTATATAAAGATTGATTATCATTTTATATAAGAGAAGTTATTGTCATAAGAGATATGGACAAAGTATGTTGTTTCTAATGATCAACTTGCAGATGTGTTAACTAAATTCTTAAGCGGACCCCGAATTAAATTATGTTATTCTAAGCTTTAAACATACAAATTGAATGTCCTGATTTGAGAAAGAGTGTTAGAATTATTGTAATTAGGTGACTGTTAAAATTAATACTTAATAGTTAAATTTAAGTGTAATTTATGAGTTGTACCTATATATATAATACTTTCCCATTTTAATATTAAGTAATATACAATTTTTATATTAAAATAATACAAAAATTATAAAGGTATTTTTATAATAGTATTTTTCAAATATGATTTAATCATATTTACAGTTTTCTTTTAAATTTACCGATTTAAAAAAAAATTAAAAAAAAATTACACCATCTTGAAAACTTGACCCAATTTAATGGAGCTTAAATAAATATTATATATATATATATATATATATATATATATATATATATTATTTTTTTAAAAAGAGGGATGAAAAGTTCGGGCATGATTAACATTTATCACTGCTGAGATGAATGAACTCATCAAATAGTATAATCTAACACTGATAAATAGAAAAATAAAACGTGAAAAAAATGGAGAAAAATAATATGATAGACGGACAAATGAAGAACGCATGCAATAATAAAGTTTTTTTATGGTATATTTTTTTGATCGCATTATTTTTATTTTGTTTTATATTAAATTTTATTTTAAAATAATTTTATTTTAAAAAAATAAAATAATTAATAATTTAATTTTTTATTATTTTAAATTAATTAAATAAAAATTAATTTATTAAATATTTTTTATAAATTATATATTTCATATTTTTAAGTGAAATCTTAAAAATAAATTAATTTATATATAAAATCAAATGTTGGAATATAATATAATAATAATATTATTATTATAAATATTCAAAAGTTTGAATACAATATAATAATAATATTATTATTATTATAAATATTTATATATATAAATAAAATATAATTAAATATTTATTTTATATATATATATATTAATATAAATATAATAAATTAAAAAATATATTTAATTAATAATAATTACAAATTGTAAAAATTTATTTATATAAAAAAATATATAATAAAATTAATTTATTATAAATATAATTATTTTTTTAAAAATAATATAAATTGAAAATGAGAGGGGACGACAAAAGTTAAAATCCAACAGAAATGAAAAAAAACCTTAATTTCTAATTCATAAAAGGTAGAAACGAGAAAGTAAAACCTACCCGCTCCAATGCCTTAAGTGTTAATAATACCACCATTTAGTTAAAATTTGTTAATTTTATTCATATACACACATAAAAATTTAACTACAAATATAAAATTATGATATAAATAAACAAATACGTGGTGACTTTTAATTTTAATGTATTACTTATAATGTTTTTATAAATATGGAACTTTACATTTCACTTATTCGTAGATACTTTTTCTTTTTAATCTTTATACATATTATTCTTTTATTATTAATATATATCACTTAAAAAAATTTATATTGAAAATATATTATTTTTTATTCCACCCTTTATATAATTTTTATTTATTTTATTTTATAAATATATTATTTTAATATTTAATCTTCTATGATAATATTATGTATTTTATTGTATTAATAATGTTGTCTCCTATAATAAATATCATTATCAGATTTTACAATAAATACTACAATTAAAAAACTCAAGAATAATGACAATAAAATAGAGATTAAACTAAACATCCTTAAATTATAAAACCAAAGAGTTAATTAAGTAATAAAAATCAAATTAATTGGTAATTTGAAAATGGGTAGTGTTTCGGGTAAACCCGTGAATAATGTGTTTGGCTTGGTAGAGAGAAACCTCCTTGGTATGGTATGATAGCAAAATGGGTCGGGTTATAAGTGGTATTCGCATGCACAATGGAGTGTGTATAAGCTTCTTACGCGGAAGGTGAATTAGGGTTTTAGCAGTGGTGGAAGGTTGTTGGGGACTGAGGAGGGTTTTAGAATCAGATTTGTGTCTCTTTTTCTTTCAGCCCTACTTTCTCCCTCTCTCTCTCTCTCTCTCTCTCTCTCTCTCTCTCTCTCTGATGCCAATGGCGACCCCTGTTCCTCCTCCTCCTGCCGCCGACACCAAGGTTGATTACTTCAACCTTCCATGTCCAATTCCCTTCGAAGAGCTCCATCGCGAAGCTATGAGTTAGTTCCCTTCTCCATGTTCAATCTTCCAGCACAGTTTTATTTTTACCAGTTTTTAGCGTTATAATTTCTTTGTTTTTCGACAGTGTCGTTAAAGCCAGATCTTTTTGAGGGCATGCGTTTTGATTTCACCAAGATGCTCAATCAGAAGTTCACTCTCAATCACAGGTACCTTTCCTTTTTCTATTATTTTCTTTCTATTTTTATTTTTTGATTTTATGAAATTCAGTTTTGTAATGCCTATTTGTTGTTGCGTGATCAGCGTTTTGATGGGACCTACTGAGATTCCTTCTCAGTCCACGGAGACCATTAAAATTCCAACTGCTCACTATGAGTTTGGCTCAACCTTCATTGATCATCCTAGGGTAATTTGGGTTTCGTTCAAATGGCCTTTCAGTTTTTTTTTTTTTTGTGTAGTGTTTTTCATTGACGATGGTGTTCCACAGTTGTTGCTCTGGGGGAGGATTTTGACTGATGGGAGGCTCAATGCTAGAGTCAAGTGTGATTTGTCTGACAATCTCACTTTTAAAGCCAATGCTCAGGTACGCGTGTGCTCGTTTCAGTTATGAGTAATGCTGCCAGTAATTTTCCTGTGTTTCGCGCCCTTGGTGTTCGGTCACTTCTTTGGTTAGTTAGCATATATTTTTTGGACTCTGTTATGAAAAGAAGGGTTTGTACTATTTTGTGATTTCTACTTTCGAGCTGTGCCACTTCTCACTTATGGGTGCCAGGAAAAGTAAGTAGACCTGCCTGGAATATCCATTCTATTTATTCTTGAAGTACTTGGTTTATGGGGATCCTTAACCCCCTCCGTTCTCATGCTTCTTTGTTTGCTTTCCTTTTGCCGCTTTTTCTCATCATAATCTTCTTTCTTGTTTTCATCTACAGCTTACGAATGAGCCGCATATGTCTCATGGGATGTTCAACTTTGATTACAAGGTCAACTAGTTCACCATTTCTTATCTAAATCATTCAAGGCCTCCTTACTCTCCTAGTCATGTTTTTTATTGTACTATCCTTTCCCTGATTTATAGTTTCATTCTTTTGTATTTTTCAGGGAAAAGACTATAGGACACAGTTTCAACTCGGGAATGGAGCCTTACTAGGAGCAAGTTATATTCAGGTATGAAGCTTTACTAGGAGAAAGTTATATTTAGGAATGGAGCCTTACTAGGACACAGTATTTTTTTCTGACAAATAAATTCTGCAGTATTTATTTATTTAACTGGGTTAATACACTGTGCTATAGTTCTTGTTCTATTCTCTGTTTAAATGCGTATGTAGATGATAAACTTGCTGAGATAATAAATGCCTTTTTTATCTTTTTCCGAAAATTAGTAAATGGAAGAGAAGAGTTTTAGCAGGTTGGTGTCTAGATATTTTTTGCTCAATAGATTAGGCCTTCTTAGCAGATTTTATCATTTGAACATCCTTTGTGTATTTTATAGTCTTATGCTGTTAAGATTCTGATAAATTTCTCTGCGGTGTATTCTCTTACCGAAGCATTAACATTATTCAGTAATTCAAGTATTCTTCTATTTTTCTCTTTTGCTTTAGTTAATTTACTACATTATGCAGGTATATGCAGCTGACTGAATTTTCATAGTAGAACCATTGAAAGAGAAAATAAGGTCAATTGACATTTTTTAAAGTATAAAGGAAAGGGGATAACAATTGTACATGTTAGGATTCTTCACAAAATTTAGTTTTTCTGTTATGCAAGGATGGGTATTTCTAGTGGTGATGCCGATGCTGTGCTAGATATAAATATTTTAGAATAGTTAATAGGCTAATCATATATTTGAGAAGGCGTGTTGAACCGCACCTTGAATTGGGTCACCCTCCACCCTAAACAATCTAACAATTACAATCTAAAGTACTCTATAATACTTAGAAATGGTGGAAATGTATTAATATGTAATTTTAATATATTATATAATAGAAGCCAAATATAGCATAATACAAAAGTATTTATAAAAAACAATATTAGAAATAACAAATGTAATAATAAAATGCGATTAATTGTAAGAAATGTGTGTATAAAATTTAGAATAGTGACTATCCTGTTATCCCACTAACTACTATAGCATTTTCTGGGTGTGGCTGCTCCATCAGCTACCTACTATTAAATTATTATATGTAAATGGAAATCGGTCATCAACATTTTTTCTTCTTAAAAAGTGTATCATCATTTCCTTTATTAAAAGGGTCTTCTGGTTTAGATGTTTAATTTCATTCATTTTCTGTGGACACTATTTGCTTCCTTGGAAATAGTTTTGATGATCATTTTTCTTTTTTTTTGGGTTGGGCAGGGGCAGGGGTTAGATGATTTATGATTAGTGACATCTTAATGCTTCATTAGTTTTAAGTTGCTATTAATATCATCTGGGTTTTAAATAGCACCACTATAGCATTGCAGCAATCCCTGGCAGCTGTAGTGAAGAATTTCATTTCTGCAGATGCTTTTGCAGCTGGGGTGGTAGGAGTCGTGCATGATAGTGTCAACCCATGAGTTCTGTGCCTCTTCCCTTGTGCTATGTCGTTTGCCACAAATTTAGTTTCTTTTTGTTTGTTTTTTGTTTAAACTATAGTATAGGAAAATAAAAACAATAGTAATAAAAAATTTCAGAGTAGCTGCTATCTTGCTAACAAATTTTTTGGGCCGACTACTCCACACTACTATCCCAAATTTAAACACTGATCAATACTAATATTTGATAGTTGAGGAAGTTTTTCATCTATTTGTTTCTTTGTTTTAATTGACTGATTGTTGTGTGAGATGTATTTGTTATTATGGTCAGTTTCTTTGTTTTTTTCCTTTCTGCCTTGAATTTATGCAATATTGTTGTTTTATTGTGCCAATTTGCTAAAAAAATTGCTGATCTTTACTCTTTAGCCTGCTAATTGATGTGTGGTACAATTGATGGATGTTTGTGAACTCATTTAAATCATTACTGAAAACGTCATCTTTGTGCAGAGTGTGACACAGCACTTATCATTGGGTGGGGAGGTATTTTGGGCTGGTCAGCATCGGAAGTCAGGTGTTGGTTATGCTGCTCGATACAACACTGATAAAATGGTATGATGGTGCCAGACTTAGCCCCACGTACATGATTGACTATGTGCCCCTTGATTTTCCTATTTGTTTATTGATCCATGAATTCCTATATTGATATTGGCAAAAACAATTCTGCCCGGAACTATGGTGCTACTTTACCGGCCATTTTAATTTTATTAGTTTGTTTTTCTAACCTGCCTGGATAAAACACTTATATACATGCACAAAATATTAAGAGGACATGCTATGCTTATGCTATTATATCTTATTCTAATTTTTTAGTGATTTCTAGTGATTCCTTTTCCCTTTTTGATTACTACTAAAATCTTTCATTTGCTCACCTACATTTAGGTTGCTACAGGGCAAGTTGCTAGCACTGGAATGGTTCTTCTAAGCTATGTTCAGAAGGTATCTGAGAAGGTGAGTCGTTAATCACATTGTAGATTTGTGCTGTTTTCATTTGAACTTGTTATTTTTTAAACAAAAGTGTTCCTTCCAGGTATCTCTAGCATCTGAGTTTATGTGCAACTACTTGTCAAGAGATGTCACAGCTAGCTTTGGATATGACTACATCCTTAGACAGGTAGTTTTCTCGTTCATGAATTCAATCATAGATTGGAATATGAAAGTAATACAGCGTGAATGTGATCATGTGAACCAGTTAGACATTATATTTCTGTCCATTGGCTATAATAAAGCTTTCTTGTTCATCTATATCTGTGCAATGAGAGTAAAATTTTCAGGAATAGAACGGATGATGAAAATTTGACAATTACTAACCGGTACATCACATCTAGATACCTTTTCAAGTTTCACTCTCCCTTGCTATTCACTTCAGTTTAACAGTTGACATAATAACACCATAAAAACTTGCAAACTTAATATATGCTGACTTAATTCTCCAATGGTCAGGAGACAAAATTACCACTGGAACAAGTGGGCCAGTAGCAGTAGGTAGTGCACTAAATGTGCAACTTTCCATGTTATAATTTCACTTCTCTTTTGATATTATCCTTAGTCCTTACTTTTTTTGCATCTTTAAATGTGCACTTTCGAGTCAAGGCCGAACATATTTATATTGTTTTATCATTTCTTAAATCTTGTGTTTGGAATTAGTTTTCTGGGTTTGAACTTATCATCAATTTTGCATCATGTATTTTTATCTGGTAATATGGACAGTAATATGGGCCTGCATACTTTGGCATCTGCTAATTTGAGGGAGAGCTAGTCTTGAAAGGAACGGCATGTGTGTTTTCCTTGGCCAATTTAATGAGCCCAAAGTTTGTGTATTTTGTTAATTGTAATGGGAGTTTAGTACTATGCTATTTCAAGTTACAGGAAAAGGAAAAAATATGTTGAGCTGAATTTTGAGAGAATGCAGAAAAAGAAACTGACCTTCCATGATTCAATTCAATCAGAAGAAAAGGAAAAAAATTTGAAATAAATTTGCATATGCTCTCCCCTCATTAAAGGTGAATAGATTGCATTGTGACATTAAAAACATGTGTTCCTTACTAGAAGTCATGTGGATTACTTGTGGTTGATTTTGGATTGTGAGTTCATTATGTGCTGTAATTTCATTTAAAATTCTACTTTTGAACATAACAATGATGCATTGATAATTTTGATAAGGTAATCAGGTTTCTTATCTACTTTTTACACCTTTTCTTGGTTATTGTAGTGCCGCCTCAGGGGAAAGATTGATTCAAATGGCTGTGTTGCTGCTTTTTTGGAGGAGCGATTAAATATGGGTCTGAATTTTATTCTTTCTGCAGAGGTCAGGCCTTTTCCTTAACTCTTTTCCCACCGCTGTGTTGATCGTTGGGCTTAGGGATGCGTGTAGTATGTATGCATGATAATCTAGTTTGGTGGGGATGTTTTAAGAGTTAATCAATTGTCAGAATTTGCATTTTTGTCTTGACATGGGTTTTTCATATGTATTCATTGCAGCTTGACCACAGGAAAAAAGACTACAAATTTGGATTTGGTTTGACTGTTGGAGAATGAATACGCAGGACTAGAGCTGTGTTTTCATTGCTGGAGCCAGCTTAGCAAACTTCCTTGCATCTTTTTCCTTGTTGGAGATTTTTCTTTCCAAAAAAGAAAAGAGGAAATATCGTTTGTGTCGGGAAACACTATTACAATCCACAAGTAGCTCAGAATTTTCAGTAGTCATCAATTGATTTGGAACTTAGGCCGAAACAACTTCATTTATTTGGAACTATTGCCCTGTTTTCCCTTGAGGGGGATGTAGAGTGAATCAGATTAATGCATATTGTGAGATTCAATTTCAATAATGATTCTGGTGCTCGTGTATCTATCCATTTCTATTACTTTTAAATGGCGCATGCATTCAGGTTGAAGTCCATGATACATTAAGGATTTAGATCTCTTGTACTACCCAAACGCTAGAGCCTTATTGATAGAGAAATTATTTTGGAAAACTCCATTTTTTAACTCAAGGTTGATCGACAAAATCAGTTGTGTTCTTTCTGAAAAATTGTAGCCCTTTTTTTTCAGTAAAATAATCGGACAAAACTTCGTAATCGGTTGAGATGAAAGCTTTTACCTCGTGTCAAGGTTTTACTATTTTCCATTTCTGTCTATTTGTTGGCCTACCAAAACCAATAGTAGGGAAATCTTATAATAAATGTTTACTATTATCGTCTGTATTTTTTTTCAAATTTTCTGTTTTGGAAGATTAGAATCCTCATATTATTTGTTAAAATATATCATTATTTGAAGGATTTTCTTTTTATATCAAATTTATGTTGATTATAAGTCTCTTTTCTTCTCTAACATAATCATTTCAAGCACATAACTGAATCGAAATTCCACTAGCAATGTCATCTTCGTGAATTATTTCCATTTCTTAACTTCTATAGACTTGTTATTAACACTTTAATTTTCCAATAGTTGTGGATATTCTCTCATTTATTAACTTTGACCACATATATTTTTAATGGAATTTTCAATCCTTGCACTACAGCTAAGTTTTATCATAGACAAACTTAATTTGCTAAGTTACTTCTTATGGAATAAAACTGTATATTTATTAGGCGTTTGAACATATTGATTTTAGATTTGGGTGATTCTTTAGATTCAAAGTTGCTAGGTTTATGGTTCACAATTTTGTTTTTGTTGTTTAGGAGAGTGGATTTTTTTTATATATATAGTTTTTAGCACTTATTTTTACCGAATCATTTTGAATGACTCATTAAAAACCATAGACAAAGTCAATAAGGACTACATTAATTTTACTTCACCCTTTTGCATTATGTTTATTCTACTTTGTGTACCTTCTCCAACCTAGGGTTTTCCTCGAACATAGTTTATAAGACTAATTCAGAAAGCACAGGATATTCTATAAGATAATTTAACAGAGTTTCCATGGTTCATAATTTTTAGGCAATATCCAAAAAACTTGAAAAAATTATTTATTTTATTCCTCATAATTTTATTATTAACTATTTCTGGATATACGTCAATTAAGATAACACTTGTTTACTTCTCACATCTAAATCTAACGTTTTTAATCTTATAACAAACAAGTACTTTTTACTTTAGGTCCTACATTTTTTTCTTCAAAATATTTACTTTAATACGATGTTTTTTTTCTTAGGAATGTTACCACGATAAGTCATTACGGAATATCTTCAAAGTGAAATTGATTTTGGACTAAAAAAAGTAAAAAAAAATTCTTCAAAGTTGCATTCACTGATGAAGAATAAAGTACTAGTTCTAGTGAGACGTTAAATCTACTTGAAAATTTTGAAAGATTGTATATGTCATTAACAATTATAAACATGAAGTGTGTCCATGCATAATGCAATTTTTCTTTTTCTTTTTTCTTTTTTAAAAAAGAAAATTCTCTACTTCTACTCATTTGTATGTTCGACATTGCAAGATTTTTTTTTTCACACAATTGTATTTTAAATTAACAATGGTATATTGTCGTAATACAAGTATGACACAAACTTGCATTATTTTTATTTTATTTTAAACTTTGTTTATAATATTATTAGTTGAATATATATATATATATATATATATATATATATATATATATATATGAAAACGTTATACAATTGAAACTTAAATGTTTAATTTAAATAATTAACTTCTAAACAGGTCAAAACTAATTAAAATTATTTATAATCATGTAAAAAAATATAATCATAAGAAAAATCAAATTTACTGATGTTCCCAATTTCCAATGGGGTATTGTTTTATTTTTTATTTCTAGATCAAATTAATTAATGTCTATGTCTCAACAGCAAAAACAATGTATTTTACTGAGAGATTGAGATTATTTCAATAAATTTGAGTTTTATTAGTAAAATTAATTCAAAGAGTATTCATTGTTATTTTTAGTTTGTGTGAAAAAAATCTTAAATTACATTTATTATAAGATGAAATAATATTTCTTAACAACTTTAACAAATAATTTTAATAAATATTTATAATTTTATAAATTAGTTTAATATTATAGTTTTAACTAAAACTTCCTTTGCAGTTATTCATAATATTTAAATTATAAAGATTTTTTTCTCATATAGGACATAAATATAAAATTATAGTATACTGTGAAAAAAGTTAACAGAAATAGCACACTTTTGATTAAAAATATAGAATTCGACGAGCGAAATATGTATCTTTAATCATTTTTTTAAAATAAAAAATATTTACTAAACAGAAATATATATTTATATAAAATAATTATATAAATATATATATATATATATATTTTTTTTTTTAAACATTTATTTATATAATTATATCAAATAAATATAAATATATGTTTTTATATCATAAAAATATATTTATATAATTATATGTTTAATATATTTTTATAAATATAGTAAATAAAACTATATTTAATATATATATATATATGATTTAAATTTTTATTTAATATAAATTAGTAGAAGAAAAAAATTGATAAAAATAATAATTTACAGGAATAATAAATAAAAAATAAATTTATATAACACATTATATGAATAATAATTTATTTAATAATAATGTTGATGTAAAAAAATAGAAAAATATAAATAAATTATAAGATTATATAATAAAAATTATTGAAATTGTTTGATATATATATATATATATATATATATATTTATATTTATTTATTTAGATAGATCTCTCCTACTTTATTTATTAAAATAAACTTGTTTATTTTATAAGGTTAGAGAATCTGATTCTAAGTGAAATGTGTCATATGAAAATATTTTGATATATTTAACATAAGAATGTGTCAGATGGGTCATAATTAATAATATTTATATATTTTGATATGTTTTAATATTTATATAAATTTTATAAATATGAATGTGTATAATAAGATATTTAATAAAACGTAGTTATATATTTAATAAAGATATATATATATATATATATATATATATAATTATATATTTGTATAGATTTTATAAATATATAGTAATATCTTTTTATATTTAATTAATATATATTTATATTTTTGTATTTGTAAATATTTATATTTATGATATAAAATATTAAAACATTATAGATTAACGGTGCATAATTGACACAATAAATATTAATATGAAACTCAACTAAATTAGAAATAATACAAGATAAATGGTAATTGAAGAATTATATTATAAATCACGAGATAAATGTGGATCTTGTTATCTCGTGTTTGTCAACATATGTACTATCTTCTAAGTCACAAATGATTTTGTTAGATGTTGTCTTTTGTATAGTCTTAGTTTGAACAAATAATTCAATATTTTTCCATGTTTGTTCACGTTGCACGGTTGGGTGTAGAGATTGTGTTTTTTTTCGATTGATCATTTGGGTCACCTCAATATCAGTTTTAATCTGTACTGGGTTGTGAATGATCTTTTGGTTTCGCACCAGAACTGGACGATGATAGTTGATTTCTGTAATTTGTTTGCGATATTCATAGTCAAGTACTTAAGTAATGTTTTCATATAATTCGACAAAAAACCATGTATGTTGAATTACTATTGTTCTGGGATTTAAACATGTATAAGTAAGACCAAAATCATTTAGACTTTTCATGATGGTTGCACGTTGAACAAGCCCACCAAAGTAAAGTAGAGCTTCAGAGAAAGGGATGTTGTTTGGGTTTGCGGAAGAGGTAGAAACAAGGAGGTTTAAAAACATCATTATTTCATCAGTGGATCTTGTATATTAAACATATAATTCAATGATAGTATCTAAAGGGAATTGTGACTTATAAGTAATAATGTTAGATACATCAATATCAAAAAATAGTTCGGTAGCATCATATATAATTAAACCATCACCTATTAGTTTTAGTTGATGGTAATACAACCTGTTGATTGAAGTGTTTGCAGGAATCCCTAAAGAAAAACATATTTTTTTTTCCTTCAGAATAATGAATGTGCAACTGTGTGAAATTCGAAAAAGTTTAAGAGATGCACATTGAAAATACACCCCTTTCTCAATTGTTATGATTTGCCCATTTGCAAACACTATTGCAAGATAAGGATTATCAAAGTTTTTTCAGTATTTGTGATGTCAAGTTCCTCCATTTGAAGAGTAAAAAGAAGAATAACATAAAGATTGGATATGAGTGTAGACAAGATGAGTGGGCGAATTTTTATGAGATCAAACCTGAATTTATATATGTCATTTACTATATTAAACAAAAATGCCCGCATAATAAATTAGTATACTTTGTATTTTGAGTTGGACCTTGGACATCATAATGATGACTTGACTTTCTTGGGTAATGTGTGTTAAATGTGGATGGTTAATATCTGCATGGGGATTCAATTTTGATCATTACTTTTTGCTGACACCTTAAACAGTATATGGTATAAATGAATCTTATCTTGAACAATATTTCGAGGTTGGTATTGGATAGTGTACATATTGGGCAGTATGTGTTAAATGTGGATTGTTGATCTTTGGGGATTCAATTTTGATCATTACTTTTTGTTAACACCTTGAACAATATATGATACATAAGAATCTTATCCTGG